TATTTCTGTGCAAGTGTTTACTCAGGCTTCAGTAAGCACCCAAGCAGACTGGACATGGGAGATTGGTGGTGGGCTGTATGTCCCACTTTTAAATACCTCTGCTCTAAACCCCCCTATATGTACCTAACATAAAGCATAAATAAATCTCACCATCCTTGAAGACAGTTACTCAGACTTTAGTATGTAGCCATCTGCTGTATGTGTCCTTAGCCACATTTCAAGGTGGTGATAATTCCTTTATTTTTAACAAACATTTTGATTTAATAAAACATAAAATACATACATTTAATCACTGAGAGAGAACACCACTGAACTTTTTTCCAACGACTGCAGATAAGCCAGCGATTCACTCGTTTAACTAGCTCTGCTAAGTGATCCGGATCAGACTTCATTATCTGATCAAACTCTGCAAACTAAATTAAAAAAAGAAAAAAAAAAAAGGTTTCCAAATGAGGAGAACAGAGACTGTTAGGCATTGTTATTTATGAGCATGTTAACTTAAAAAGGTAAAATATTTTTAAGGTAAACCGTATGTCATCATTATATCAGCTTTCAGTTAATTCAAATGAGTAGGTATGTCTGGCATTACTTTATTCTGTAATGATAATAGAAATTAATACTGGGGACTTTGTTTAATTTACGTGCAACACTTAGCATTAATAAATGGTTGGATTATTCAAAATGACTAAAAATATTTATTGCCAAAATTTTGAAAAACTGTTTCTCTACATCCTGAACTCTTACTCTGGCCTTCCACAACTTCAACATACCTCTAATTTTGTATTTGGGGAAAAACGAAGTCCTGAAAACACTTCTCAATTTTTAACCTTTGTGTAAGAGTCCAACTAAAGGCTATCTTTTCTGAAAATCCTGCACTTCTACTTTTTGGTAATTATGACAGAAAGAACATCCTTCTGGACTACAATAATTTTCGTTTCTAGTCACAACAGCTCCCTACTTCATCTCTTTTCTCTGCATAGCAGCAGCAATGCTCAGAATCACAGAAAGATATTTCAGCTGTAAATAGACTTTACTAGAAAATATTTTTCCTTTGCTCTGACTTGCTCTTTTTAATAGTCAACAAAAGTCTTAAGTGATTGGTAGAACATCTCGGAATACAAACATCACATCAGGAATACAGCAGCATTAGCACAAGACTACGAAACCAATTATATCAGTTGTTATATTTTTTTTTCATAGAAAATGAACAGTATTTACAAAAAAAAAATGGGCAACCTTACTTAAGTTGGCCACACTTTTAGCAATGTGTTGAACAATGTCACCTTCAGAGGTCCCTTCCAAACAAAATTATTCTAAGATTAAAATTCATGAACTCAAAGAGAAACATTACCTTGCCAGGTCTAAAAAACACCTTGGTTAACCCAAATTTGTAATCATTTTCATTCAGTCCCAAGGCTTTAAATAGTGCCTGAAACACAGAAAACAGGTAGGATTATATTCTGCCTCCTTCAGAAAACGAAAAAAAAGTTCAAAAAAACACACACAAAAAACCTCCCAGAATACATTTTCTTTCCTAGATGATATAGAAGAATTAGTTTCTTCCTTACCTTGCAAAAGAGCCTAGGATCCAGTCGAGCCAATTTTTCAGGCAAGTATTTCTTGTACATATTATATAGTTCATGAAATGAAGCTCGTGAAGGGAAACCACCTTGCATCAAATCCAGAACAGACACCATTCCTAGATTCATAGAAACACATGCACGGAAGCTGGTATCATTAAATGCAAATGAAGCAGTGATTTTTACAATATCAAGCAGTTTATAACATAAGCCTCAACGACATCATTCAGAGACTAAACCTCAAAGTTCAGCTGGGACTTGATGCAGCTTCTAACATTTCCTGATCATATGCTTATTCACAAAAAGTTAATACTGAACCGATGAGAAGAGTGCACACAATTTTCTCAGTGTTTGAGAGGTAACACCCAATCATGCAGAGGATTTTTTCTATTATTTCTTCTAAATATTTTTTCTTATAATAAGACTTGACATTTTCATATTTAAAGAAAAAATAAAACCAAACAATGCCTGGCCAGGCTTTTATTTTCATCATGTCAATAATTATTGGTAAGATGTGGTACAGATGCAGCATCAAAACACATATGCAGTGCTAGAACAATTAGTGTACTTGCAGTACTAGGTGTAAGCTGTTAAGATGCAATTTTAACACCCCAAATACTGTTGCTACATTCTGGCTGCAGCTAGGACACCAGTAAAGCACAGACACAAAGTCAGTAAATGGTTCAAATTACTTCAAGCAGCACAGGCCATGCCAGTTCTTGCCCACTGCGTTACATAACCCTATGACCAGATTTTGCATGTAAGTTTTATAGCCCTTAATTTGTGGCCACTGTCTTTAAACTTAATCTTTTGCATATTTGCTTTCAATGGAAATTTGATTTGTTTACACTGCCTTTATCAAAAAAGACTTTATACTATTATATCTTGCTTTTCCAACATTACATACTATAACTTTGTTTTACTAGATTAAACTTCATGTACTGTTGCTGAAGTAAGCACATATGGAAAACTGAGCTTGTAAAACTACTGCGAAACATGCAATTATTGGGGGGGAGGGTGGAGTTAATTTGTTATTTTTTCCTGACATGCCAAATGCTGCTAGCCTGCAGAAACCTACTGCTTATGATGTTAATGGAGTTCTAATTGCTGAAAAGGTGTTAAGCTTTTGTGACAATAACATGATGAGTTAAACGTGGATTTGTCAAAACATCAGCTGCAGAACCTGGAAGTATCTTGACTTCAAAAAGAGAAAAAAATTAAGCACAAGCTACTGAAAATACAAAAATAAAGGGGAAAAAAAAAAAAATCGAAGTACTTTGATGAACAAACGCCCTATGAAGAATGACGGTACTAGCACTCTAATTCCCAAGCAGGCATTTCCTTCTGCTGTTCAGTGGGGCATGAGCAAAACTGCTAATACCCATTCTTTAAAATAATGCTGTAAAATTGGAAAGCGCCTACCCTTTCAAGAATAATGAAAATGCAGCATCGCAATCTGTGGTACATAAAGCAACAGAAAAGACTATGCTGAAGTGCCCTTGTTGGAAGTTCAACTCCAAATCAAATTAACAGTGGTATAAAGAAATTTTTTTTAAAATGTAAAAACCAAAGATGATTCAACTCTAGCATAGTATCTATAAAATCAAAGAAAACAGATGTGTTTCAATTATTAGATAGCTAATACTAACTGCATCTAAATGCACACAGGAGTTTCTAACAGTTCAACTGCAACAGTAATGTAAAGAAACTCTATTGTTTTAGACTGACCTGCTGTCCTCTTAACATTGTAGGCAACACAGAGAGATGGGATTCAGCTTCAGGTCAGGAAATCTAAGTTTATGTACCCATATACGGCCACATTGCTTCTTACATACACACCTGGAGTCTTAACTCTCATTATAATCAAAAGCAAAATAGTTGACGGAAATTACATCAACTCTTCTTGCGAAGAAGAGATCTTATGGCTTTTCAGATGAATTATTTCTAGGGTTCTATTGACTAAAACAAGAGCTAAGTTACTAAGAATCTAAATAACTGTTCATAAGGCATAAATAAGCTACCTTCTAGAAAGCAACAGTTCAAGCAAGGAAATATTGCTTGTATATCACACATTTCAAACTTAGGTCAATCTATAATGTCCGAAGTAATAAACAGAGGGAAAAATATCACAGGCATACACTACCTGAACACTGAAGCTGAGAGAGGATCTGTCCTCCTTCAAACTGGTGATTTGTCATCTTTAAATTAGGTTTGATACAGCGAATAAAGCTAGAGCCCTATTACCAAAACAAGAAGTTAGCAGAATCTGCACATTTTTAAACCTCCTGAAATAACAGCTAGTCATTTAAGAATTATAGGTGGGAAAAAAAAAAAGATACAAAAGACTAGTATTCTAAAAGAGAAATGCTGACATTCTTTTTCTCTCATATATCAGTTTTTCACTGTAGCCTTTGTCTTGAATGTAACTGATCTCAATTCTCAAGCTATTAATTGGATCCTCAACTTCTGAGTTTTCACTCAACTGTTCTTAACATTAGTACAACCTAATTACAATTTAGCAGTCTAGATTCTACTATGCTCATTATCTTCCACAGTCACATCACCTAAATGCCTCAGTCCTCCAGAGTTCCCATTAGTGAACTTGCTACCAGCCTCCTGACGTGGGAATCATGGCAGATGTATTGACCTACCTTTCTTTTAACTCACTTTTTACAAATTCTTTTGGCTCATGGCTTCACTCTCCCTTCCCCCATGTTGTTCCAGTCTGCTCCTCTCTTATCACCATGTGCGCTATCTCTACAATTTTGACCACTGCTTTCTCTGATCATTTCAAATTCATTAAGGATGATATTTTTGCAAAACACCATCCAATTATTCAGATTTTCCTATTACAGGTGGCTGCTAATGATAACATACCTTATATACTATAACAAAATTGGGACTGAGAAAACATAGTATTACTCCTGGTTTGCAGTGTCCTCTCTTTTTCCATCTCTCAGCTGAGAGTTAAAGAGTACCTGCCAAGGGAGCTCTGTATTAACAATGCATCGTCAGTCATGGGCTAGAGCTCAGAGTACAAGAAGCCTGGCGACATATTTTTTCCCTGGACTGGGTCTCAGTTCCAGAGTGTTCTGTGTGAAAGAGATCAGCTTTCTTTCAGACCAGGCTCATGAGTACAGTAAAATCTTAATGTTGGCTACACTCCTGCACCTGTCCCATTTGTTTCCTATGTTTTTCCCCCTTTTTTCTTTTTTTGAGAGAGGATAACCTCTTATCTAGAATTGGTTAGAACATGCGGTCAAGAGAAACAAGAATGTGTTCCTACAATTACAAGTTCTAAAAAAAAAAAAACCAAACCAAAAAAACCCCTACCAAACTGTATGTTGAACTACATGGAGAATTCTACAAACGACCAAATTACATCAGCTAAATTAGCAAATACTCATTAGAGGAATCAGGTTCTTTGAACATCTGTGCATTTATAGCCTATCACAACAATGAAATGAAACATTTTGTTTTTAACAGCTTTATGGAATCTGAAAACAGTGATTAATAATAAATTATCATCTGCCTTCTAAATAACAACTCTAAATCTTCTGCAAATTAGTCAGCAATGAGAACCAGTGAACAGAGGGAAGTAAAAGTGACAAAAAAGGAGAACGCAGCCCAGACAGATTTCATACTGTTTACTCAAATTGTGTAACTTTGATTCTGCAACCACTTTTTTTAAAGGTGGTGGGTTTTTTTTTTAAAGTAACTCAATAATCATCACCTGCACAGCAAGACGTTTCAGAAGTGCCAAATAACTGCAAACTCTAAAATAATTACTTAGCACATCTACTGTAAGCTATATTGTTGAGATAATAAATTAGGATTTATGTCAGAAAATTATAAACCTGCAGCTGTACACATACTTACAGTACTGTGAAGCTTCTCAAGAAGCAAATTTAGCTGAGTCTGTAAAAGAAAACAGGTATTTCAAGAGTCTTACCATGACAACTACAGAAATATACACACAGAATAGCATTACTGCATGCGTGTTTATTGTTAGTAAATCAGAATTGATAAATCAAACGTTCACAAATTTTAACAGACAAAATCATGCAAGTGTGCATGAATGGTCCTGAGGAAATTGCTTGTGTTTAACCGTACAACAATACTGTATGGATTAGTTACTTACTACAACACAGTTATCAAAAAAAAGTGCAAGCCCACTTATGAAAATAAAAGAAATAATGTCTATGTAATAAAACTATAAAGAAAATAAAACTGATCAGCAATAATTTAAAAAAATACACTGAAAATGATGAAAGCCCAAATTTAATCTATAACAAGCATATCATTGTATGTTAAATAATTAATACAGAAAACAGATTTGCTCAAGGTTTTCTTGGGGTTTTTTGAAGCGAAGTCAACATTTAGGTGAATGAACCTGCATAATCTATTTTTAATTCCAAACTTCCAGATTTTTAATTCTCTGTTGATGACAATAGATTATAATTTTAAAATTGCATTTACTGAGGCTGGATTTAAACGTACTGTGATGAGAAAAGACCACAGCCCTGTGATTATCTGGGGGCAAGTCTACAGGATCACCTGAGACTTAAGGCTATCAGGGTAAATGAGTTACAGTTCCTATTGAATGTAATTGGTAGGGACTTAAAATATTCCAGAACCACATCAGGAAAACAGCTACACTCTGACTTTACAGATATGTCTGTTTTACCACATCGACTACTGCTGTGGCAGCCTTTCTAGTTTAATAACAAACTAAATATATAGACTGAAGTAAGACAAAATTCTGTGTCCCCCAACATATTCCTCATTTTCTGTACTGGAACCAAAATTTAACTTTTGACTAATTTTTTTTTTAAACCAGATCTTTCAATTACCTTGAATCCAAGAAACTAGATTTGAATGGGCAATATGTATCACCTACAGTTGTCAGTTGTCCGCCCAGTGGATAAAATTGGTTTGTTTTTTTTTAACTTATCATGGATATGTTAGAAAGAGAGAAGGCATGCCAAAAGAGGCATGACAAACACTAATAACCTCCTGCTCAATTCTCATTTACATGTACTCTTTATATCTCTAACTTGAATATAATCTTTATGTTTTCTTAAGTTACAAATGCTCAATTTTGGAAGGGACTGCCTAATTTCCATCAACAAAATACATTTCTGTAAGAGGAAAAGTACCCCTTCCTTATACTCTGTGATTTGACAAGAAATAAGCCAGAGCCATTCTCAGGTAAATTTCACTAATGAAAGGCTCGCACGAATAAAACATATTGCTAAAACTACTGCTCTTTGAATTATCATGATTTAATCCATCATTACCGTGGTACAGTAGAATCATCCCAAAGACTCTTGAGTAGATCTGATGAGCTAATTAATCATTATTTCTTGACTGATTTATGAGAATTAATTTTACTTAGTTATAAGGAAGGGATGTGTGAAGGATTTCATAGAGAGAAGTCCCTGCAACATCATCTAATAATTGATGTAATTAGAAGAATTTGAGACTGACTTACATACTGATGCACTAAGGATTCTTATTCTTAGATATGAAATTTCTACTAAGATAATAGAATTTATTTTTATGTCATCTGAAGTGAAATGTTCAAGGCTATTAGTGTTCATCAGCAGCACATGTTGTGTCTGGGAAAGTATCACTAAATGAATTACTGGAAGTAACACATACATTCAAAATGCCATGAAACTTGAAAACATTGAAGGAACTATAGATTGATGGGCCAGATCCAAAGAGGATTTTAGTCAGATTCTAGGTGCAGAGGTGTACACCAAAGTCCAAATGGCAATCCAAAAAGTTCCCCAGTCAATTGCTGCTCAACTTAAAAAAATGCCTCCCTTATTACTTCAGCCCTCCCTGGACAATGGTGTCATTCACATGTCCACATCTACTGGATGTGGGCTGCTAAATCCGAAAGGAATTGAAAACCCACATGGAAGAAAGCGGAAGCTATCTCAAAGATCCCACAGTCGGTTTAATTTTGAAAATGCAGTTATAAAAAAAAGCAATGGCTCCTAGCTTCACCTACAACTGCCTCATGGTTGCAGGGTTTGCTCAGGAGATGCCTTATCTGTATGTAATTCCATTTTTCAGTCTGCCTTCTGATCATGCATTTTATATTAAATCAATTGCTAGTTTAATTCCACAACCACTACCTAAGAAGGAGAATGAAATAATCATCAGAGCAAAACTCAAGAGAGCAGGCTGCCCAACTCCCAGTTAAGTATCAAAACCGCTACCTTACAAGTACGGCTATGTGTCCTACCCTTCCCAGCCCCATCAAAATGTTATTTCTGGCTACATAGCAACCCGTCTCCAGAAGGGTATAAGGAGCATCCCCTTTGTCAGACTGACCAATAACTTGTCACTATGGGAAATACAGTAGACATAAAACACTGAATACAGCACAGAACTGGTACAGAATACTGTTGCTATACAAAAAGGAAGTGCTGCTACCATAAGGAGGTTTTTGAATTGTCTAAGATAGCCGCTTTCCCTGGAGACTGCATAAGGAGTCTAGGTAAGAACATGATATGGGGTTTTAGGTGCCCTAGGTAAGGTGGCATACCAAAAAATGTCGCAGCATTTGACTTGAAGGTATACAAATCCTTCACTGGATCTGGCCCAGATGTGTTGAGAAGAGCTCTTGCTGAAATTGCAGCAGCTCTACCAAGAGTAAATCCATGAGATTGAAAAATTTACCTGCAGCCCACAGTTGTGTCTGCTTTTCATCTCTTAATTCCCCTATAGTTCTCTTTCTAGCCATCCTGAGCTGGAATAATCCAGCTAAAATAAAACTGCTGAATGAGAAAAGGATGCAGAAAACATTTGGAGAAGACAAGGTTTGAAGATCAGCTTTATAACAAGCAGAAGAAAGGAGAAAATTAGGAGAAGCATCAGATTCAGGTATTGAGAAAGGAAACATTCAGCACAACGAACATCTTTCTGTGAAAGCCATGACTATCCTTATATTTTAGAAGAGGAAAAACAGTGGTTAGGTTAGGTATTGAATTTTGAGAATAGCAAACTGTGGCCAACTGATACATCTTCCAGAATGCACAATTAAGATGGGATAGAAAAACACCCTTTGCCACATTTAGAACCCCTTAAAGTCCACAGAATCCAAATTAAGATCTCAAGATTTAAAATCTTTTGAATAAAGACTTCCACGTGGCTTTGCAAAATTCTGACTTAAAAATTACTGTATAATCTCTGTAAGGACTGTTATGAAACATCTTTTTGGCAGAAACACATAGCACTTAGCTTGAATATACTGGTTTCTTATAATTCAATAGGAAAATGTCTATTTAATAAAATTTTATTTGTATGAATCTCAAGTTACCACTAGTTCTCCTAACCTTAGGTTCTACTTTTTTCAGGTAACTTAAAAGTGGCTGTAAAAATACTGCAAGAACATAAGATTCTTTGCTATATTATGTTACCTTGAATTTGTTTCCCACACTGATGAAACTAAGTTTCCCAGCTTTTTGTTTGGGATCCTTGTTGTTGTTAGTGTTAGATTCAAATAGCTGTCGAACAAACTTGTCCTTGGATTCACATATAAGAGATTCAAGGGACATGTGCAAAGCATCATTGTTTTTTTCCACAAACTGCATCTGAAAAGACAACCCAAAAATAATGGCACATTTGTTTCACTGTCCCAGTTACTTAAGCCTTAAAGAAAATTAAAGAAAACAATGTTATATACTTAACTCAAAAATCAGCAAGAATATGTGGGGTAAATTTAAAACAACTTTTCAACTGGACACACAAAACACTAATGACAGAGAGAAAAGATATTCTTAAATTTGAAGGATGTTGGAATCATGAAACCCAAGGTAAGGCCTTTTAAGAGATCAGCTGTGGTTTTGTCAATGATTATCCTCCTTGTTTCCATTTCCACCACTCAGCACATCATCACTTGGGAGTTCTGAGATGCTTAACGCTTCACTGCTTGTATTATCACTTAAGATCTGTTGTGACATGGGAATTAACATGCACGCTTTAACTGGTGCATCTACACAGTTTGGAAAATGAAAAACGGTTATTTTAGTAGTACTATGATTACTTAAGAACAGTTGATTTAATAAAAGATATTGTCCCTTCCTACAAACCTTACCTCTCTGGTTTATTTAAAATAGCTCACTAGCTTTTAGAAGTTAAGAACAATACATTACACTGAAATTCAGAGAGCAAGACCCTAGTATACAATTTCACACTATCAAAATTTTCAATAGCTTTTGGTGGCTTTGATATTTATGAACAGAAGAGCCCAAGGCTAATTCAAAGAAAACATGAATTTGCCAGAAATCCCACAAAGGGATTTCATGGTGATGAGAATCAAAGGACAAACACAGGCCTCCAAAATTCCCTTAGACTATGAAAACACACGACTGGAATATGAACACAGCAGGGAGAGTGTCCTCACCACAAATCAGATTGGAGAACTGCCACAAGTGCAGTGGGAAAGAGACACAAGTAACAGATGATGTACAAGGCAGCTATAGTCCAAAAGTTTTAAGGCCCAAGCCAAGTCCCTCTGAGGGAGGGAATAAATTAAGTCAAGTATATTAGCATAGGTTCTGGCCCAAGGCTACCTCGTATGTGATTAGCCCTGACAGCAGAGCTTATGTGCTCGTATCTGGCTCCTCTGTTCCTGAAGACACTCTAAGGTACAGTTATCATAGCATGATGAGGTACACAGTTAAACACTTAAAACAAATATTGTTCCCATTTTACTTACTATGTTGATATTGACTCACTGAGTGACCTCAGAAAAATCAGGTAGATAACACACAGACTTCAATTTTCTTATTTGTAAAACGACCTACAGAATGTGCCGACTTCAAAACAGCACATCAATCATTATTATTCTTGGGAGTACTTTGAACTCCCAATTTCAATACTTTGAAATATGAACAACTCCTTAAATTACTCATTTTCAAATGACAAAAAACCATGTTTGGAATTAGCTTCCCTCTTACACACTGGAGTTACAGACCTGAACAACAAAGCACTATGGTTCTTCTGTTTATGCTAAACTCTTATTTTTTAAAAAAATAGGTTTTGGATATTAGCTTCAGGTGTTTCAATGTTTTTGTATGATGAATAGTCAAAAAAGTACAAGAATCTGGAACGTATTTTGAGGGTAGCAATTTCAGGTATTTCATATTCTTACATCAATGATTCTATTGCCAGCAGAAATGGAAAACAAAAAGTATAAAATGTGATTTTTAATACAACACAAACAGTGACAGCATACGTGAATAAGCATGCTTCCAAAAAGTTACTCTTAAGTATAACAATACTTTTATATCACATAGTGTATTCCTCTCCCCAAGACGCAATCCTCTGTTGCTGTAAGATTTGCAGTAGTTCACGAATCAATATATTTAATATTGACACCATTTTTGTAACAAACCATTTGTAACAAACTCTTACACAAAATATATGTCACCAAATCAGTCTGTAATCTGAGAAGTTAAAAGAAACTGTTGATTCTGTCACATACTCACAAAATTAGTTTCAAAGCTAAGACCTATCAACTTCTGAATTTATTTTCTGATTATTTGTTATTTAACCTATATACACTGAAAAATATAAAAGTAGTATAAAGCATTACAAAAATAGTTTTGCATAAGTAAAATTACCGTCTCATAGCATACTGCTCCTGCAAAATGTCGGATAATAAAGCCTTCATCATCTCTGATATTTCTGTGAACAGCCAATTTAGACTTTCTAGGAATCTGGAATGCAAAAGTTAAATTACAAAGAGGAGAGTGAGTTAAATTACACTGGAGAGTGAGGAAAAGGTTATTTTTAAAACATCACTATGATTCTGCCAGGAGCACTAGGTGTTAAAAATGACGTTTCCTGCAGTATAATTGCAATGACCACTGCCATTCCTGTTCAAACCAAGATATTCCAAAAACATATTTTCATCCTCATTCACACCCTTAGATACCTCACATTTACAATAAAAGTCACCAGGATTGCTAACAACAGCAAGTCGATTTTCTTTTTGCCTTTAATCAACAATTTCTAAGACCATTCATTCCACAGCTGATGAATAGCCTTGTCATATGAATAGGATTAGATAGAAGCTTAAAACATGTTTTTAGATGGTATATTTTAAAAGGCAACTACCTAGCTGATCATACACATACCGACAAAAATGTTTCATTGCACAGCAATTCAGTTAAGCAAGATTAAGTGGAAACTTAACTAAAGGTAAATGGATGACAATTTTATTTGGCTCCCTTTGCTTGCATTTTTTTGTCAAGGAACTAACTTTTTTTTTTTCATTTCAACAGAGTCATGTACATAAATTGCAGTAATTTGCATCAATCTTCCAAAGAGAGCTGTACATTGAAGAATTAACAACAAAAATGTTTTCTTTGGGTGTTACCTATTTTCATCTCTGAAGCGCTAGCTACACGCTCCATGTGAGTCAGATATTCTCCAAAGCAAGGAATTTTTGAAAGGAACAACAAAATAGCTCATCTGATACGAAATAATCTAAATTAAAATGTGTTTTTATTTCCTTTTCATGCATTACATGTTAACAAACTTCAAATGTAAGTGAAGAATACAGCATCAACAAACCTAATAACCAAACTTGTCCTTAACAAAAGAATATGGACTGCACAGACTGGTGCAGTATGATTTTTTAGGAAAGGTTTTCATTAAATTGAAGTGTTACTATCAACTGTTTCAAGAACTGTTTTATTAAAACAAGACAGACAGCAAAAATAAACCTACAGACAGCCTGAAATGGTCCTTGTGTTTTTGGTGCACAACCGAAGTAAAATGCTGGTCGCTTGGTTGGGGAAGGCGATTTTCCTCATCCAAAATATCCAGTACACCGATTAACTTTGCTTCAATCAAATCTATTAATAAAACAAAATATATATGAATATATAGACTCGTATCAGAACTGAACATTACAAGTTTAAAATGCTACTGATCTGATTCTGTACAACAGTATCTAGGGAAAGCTGTTAACACAAAACACAAAAAGTCATTGCAATGTAATTTTACATATCTGAATTGTTGATTTAATCAATATCCTATACATACCAAGTTCTAACTCTTAACACAAGGAACACGAGGGGAAAAAAAGATCAGGCACAGACTGTTTAATTTTTACTTTGGGTCTCAAGTTGAATTTAGTCATCTAATTCCCAAAAGGTACCTAAATGTTTCTGCGGTATCTTTATGGGATAACTGCTTATATTGTTGGGTTTTTTTAATCTTTTCATCCATGTTTCACCACATGTCAAAACTAAAAGCATGGAAAGACACATAATTCCATTCACAACAGGACCCAGGGAAAAAAAGGAAATTAATTTGTTTTAAGAAAAGCACTGAGCATACAGTGGTGGTTTCACAACTTTTTACAAGTGTATTGCCTTGACCCTCCACATACATATACAAAAGCCCTTGAAAGCTGGCATAGAAATTCATGCTCTTGAAACTATTAGACACAAGAATTTTGCAGCTTTTAAAACTTTCTTGCATTATCAACATAAGAGGAATTTTTACTACCTACTTTTTTTTTTTCCTGTGGAAAGGAAGAAATGACTAATGCTTGTACTGCAACAACGCCTATGAACTCTTCCCACAGATCGTCGACAGTACAAGGCTATATATAAAGCACAAAGACAGCCCCGATCCAAAGAATCTATGCTACAGTGAGGACTACCATTCCATCAAAACATTCTAACATACTAATGACTGTTTCTAAGATTCTTCCATAGTGTTAAAAAATTGCCCATGTCAACATAATATCCCTCTCTTTTGTGACAGTTAATATTTTTACGTGTTCACTGCTGTCACTGGCCTAGTCCAACACCTTAAACAAAATCGTATTTTGACAGAAACCAACATTATTTTTCTCACTCACTTCAAAAGGCAGTAGAAAATCCTTTTCTCCTGACTATGCAAGAACAGGAAAAAAGGCATACGTGTTATGATTTAATTAAGCTATAGTTTTATTAACTTATCTAAGAAAAACTCATACAGTGAAGAAATGTGTCAGATCTGTAGTGGGGTGTCATAGGCTGGTTGGAATAGTAAAAGGGGTCATGACTGAGGGACTGCTACTTGTATTCTTAGTAACCTGCCCAAACCCTTTCTACAGAATGAAAAGGCAACAACTTGGCAACAGGCTCTACAGCCTGACCCATTTTCCCTCCTGTAAGTCAGACAGAGACCTTTTCTTCCAATAGGCACCAAGGAACCCCTTTTGATCCTTAAATATGTTTCAAAAAAAACCCCAAACATGCACAGGGCAGGGGGAGGGGGAAGCAACCCTTTTTATAGCACCATGAAAGTCTCTAAATGATAACATTTTTAGGAACAGGCTCAGGGTCATATACACATTATTAAACACATTAAACCACTAGAAGAAAGAGGATTTGTATTCATAGAAGTCACCTATTTCCAGTTGCCATGCTTTTCTGCCCTCCTCCAAATACCTTCCTGTTCCTTTTTCACAAGATGGCTAAGTGGTTTGTTTGACAAAGAGTTGTCTTTAGTTAAGTCAAAGTTAGTGACTGTACGGTCCTATCTGTCAAAGTGAAAACTCCTTCAGTAGAGCTACAGAAACTCAGAACCACCAGACATTTTGCAACAGATGTTAAATTCTGTCACTCTCTGCTCAGCCAGGACTGACTAGTTACCACAAACAAATGTAAATGCAAACTGTAAATGCAAAGCCAAAATTAACTTTTGTTCACAATACGCCAATTTGGAGAACACAAGTTGAACACAGAAAAAAAAAAACCAAACAAACAACAAAATAACATGATCATTTTAAGCCTCTGGTATATATCAGTGTGTGGAAGCCTAAAAGCAGCAGTAGCATCTGCAGCCTGTTGCCTACAGTTGATTGCATTGCTCTGCTCACTGGCTCAAAAAAAGGTGGGGGGAACGGGATGGGATTTTTTTAACTCAGCGAGTATTCTCCCCCAGACACCCTCACACCCTACTTCACTTTATTTACCCTTTTTAGCTGTTCTAATTAGTTTTCTAGGAAAATGCAGAAGAAATTCACAAATCCCAGCTGCAGTTATTGCACGCTGTAGGACGACATGACTCCATTACCAACCAGAACTGGAATGTTATACAAAGCTGGAAGAATTCACAAGGTTGCAACAGCCATTAAAAGCATAAAATTACTAGTGGTTCACATACTTTGCCTCTTCTGCTTGAAGCCTTTTTTCTCCATGACACTAATGAATAGCTTGACATGTCAAGAAGTACATACCTATACAGTCCTGATTATCTACATAGCGCACTTCATTAACCCCCAGGCCTTCTTTTTGGTAAAGTTCTTGTTCCTAAAGAAAAAAAAAAAAGTAATTGAAAAGAAAACACACCACTTACCATTCTTTTTTTTACCCACCAAAAATGTTTTTTTTTTAATAACCATGAAGACATTTTTAAATGCAGCATGAATCAGCACAAATTTTAGAATTTCCTTCCACAGCTTAATATATTCCAACCTCACCTCCTTAATGATATGCCCATGCAATTAGATATACCCATTAGGTATGAGATACTGTCCAGTATCTGGAGGCCTCATTTTAATGAATGGTAAAAAAGAAGAAGAAAAAAAGATTGTTGGTTTTCAAAAAGCCATATTCTTTTCTGGCACAACCAGATGTCACACAGTAGGAAAACAGTTTGTCAGCTGAACTTTTTTTAATCTAAGCATAACATGCAATCTTATGGAAAACACTGCTTCTTTAAGTATCTCTTTAGTAAAAAAAATAAATCCTCAAATATAATATTAAATATAACATACCTCTTTCAGAATCCTTTCATTAAAAAATTGCTGCAGTTTTTCATTACAGTAGTTAATACAGAATTGTTCAAAACTGTTGTGTTCAAAGTATTCTGAAAAACAGAAGGTAAACTTCTATGATAAACCAGTGTTCCATATTAAATAGTAACTTAGAAAAGCTTCACGGTGCTAATATTTAAAGACGTGTTCTGAGCCATATCTGTTTCTTTCAAGTAAAATAAAAGGTTTTACGGATTTTCAAGTTGCACAGAAGACAGATACAAAAATACTGCAGCAGATCAGTTTTCTAAGACAAATAACACAGTTCTATCTGGCAGCAAACTAAAGCAAGATGCTACCACGCAGTGAAACTGTACCTATACATCCTCATGCATCCATGTTACAACAGGCTGGCACAGGGTATCACAGCTCTAAAGAGCTGGACACCAAAACCCTCTTTCGCTGCACTTGACCACCTTAGCAGGGATAGAGCACACCAGAAAACATGCCCTATTCTGAACCTCAGCGAGCCAACCCGGACAAAAGCTTTATGGGAATCATCAATGCCCACCATTTCGAGGGAGCAACCAGGAGCCCAAAGGCCAACTCTGTAACAGAACTATCCAGCCTCCAGGAAGCAGTATCTTAATCCTGAGACTTCATTTGCCTGTCTATCAATACGCAGTGATCTTCGCAGGACTGAATGGGAAAACAGCATGCATGTGCAGTATCTTTCCTAATTTCAGTCGGTGACCACAGTAAGATGCCATTCCAAATTTGGAGTCCTTCAAAAGCTGCGTCTATGTGGATGTTACAGGAGTCTGAAACTGTTACAAAGATGCCCAGTTTCAAACTAATGCGTGTTAGTGTTATTAGGTCATCAGGAGAAGCTCTAGATTTCCTCTATGATATTGTATCTCAGGAAAATGAGGCTTTATCTACTCTCTTGGTATCTTCTTAAGCCCTTGTAACCCATCCCATCCACCACCACCAAAAAGAAAACCCTCCCACTCTCCATTACAGCATTTATCATCAAATCTTTGGTGGCAATAATAGACAAATAGAAAAGTAATTTTTTTTTTAAATATACTTACCAAAACCAGCTATATCTAGAACTCCAATGAAGAAAGAAGAAGTCTCAAATGGAAAACACTGGTTTACCCTATTCACTACATGGTCAAACAGATGACTATACACTGTTTTAGCCAAGGCATCACGAGCATTGTTTGCTTGTTCCACTTTCAAGGGTACCCTAAAAAAAAAAAAAGCAGATATTATTTTTCAGAATTCCCTATTATGAAATACTGAGATTAGACTCTAAACTTAAAAAGAGCCTTTCCAATTATTGTAAATTAGGACACAAAGAAACGGGAGCTCTAGGCCCAGGTAGGAAACAGTCTTGCCATGTTAGACTAAGTATCCTACCTGTAAAAAGAAAGAATAGTGTTTCACTATTCTCAGTAGAAGTGAGATGCAGATGTTTTCGTACTCGTTCATTAGGCAGTTAGAAACTATATTGATAATTGCCAGAAAGAGATATTTAAAATACACACATTCCCATTTACAAAGAATATTTCAACTATTTATTTATGAGCTGCCTAATTACAATAAAGCCTATAGTTCAGTTTTGCTCTGACATCTTTGTGCCTATGCTTCCATAAGGGCTATAACTAAAATGTTAAGGCTGTAAGTTAATTGGTAACAAAACCAAAACCACATAGGTAAGGGAGTGAGAGTTAGATACAATCCCAAAATAAGGGTTCTTTTTAAACACACAAAGAAGGGGCCTTTTAAGAGGTAAGAATTTATTCTCCCTCCCTTGCTTATAAACCTTTATTCTGCATTGTGACTATTTATTACAAGTTCATATCCCAGTTTAGCAGCTAAAAGAAAAAAAAAAAAAAAACACCAACCCACCCCACGAGTCACCTCAAGGTCTATGAAATGCACAGAATCATAGAATCACAGAATTGTTTAGTTTGGAAAAGACCTCAAAACTATGGGAATATCAGTCAAATATGACTACATATTTAGCTATACATATAATAATATATATATAGCTATTTCCCTAAGTCAGTATGCCAGTGAAATGCTTAGAATGTATATATTTCAAAGGACCTTTAACCACCTCATTTCCTGGATAAATACATTCTACAAGACTTTTTTTTTTTTTTTTTTAAATAGGTTTCAGATTAACAGATAATAGTACCAAAACTAAAACCCAGCTACACTTTACAGAGCTGAAGGAAGCACCTGTGGAAGTCTCCAGAGTAAGACAATTGACACAAGGATAAAGCCCTAAGGAAGTGTTTCAGAAACAACGTGGAAGAGGTATTAAAAATTAACTTTCAGCTTTATGGTATGATTGCAAATCCTAATCACATTGCCGAATAATTGAAAAGCAAAAGTCCCACTAATCTGAACAGAATCAGACCAGAACAGAATCAGACTGTCAAAGATCAAAACTCTACAAAGCATTTTTACAGATCAATTAAAAAATAGAAATACAAAGGAAAAAAATAAAATTTAAATACTGATAGCCCCTTGACCAGACACTACCAAAATTCCATGCATAGAAGGAAGGCCTACCATTTAGAAAAACTGTGGTACACAAAGGCTTTACACAACACTGTATTATGACATACAGATATACCCAATGTTAAAGTAAATCAAAAGGAGAGATTGTCAGGGAGAGAGCCTTTGCTAACCAAACTGATAGAATTTGCAGGGAGGAATAGGGACAAATAATGTCAAGATTTTTATCACACCAATCCTCTTTGTCACAAAGAATACAGGATGATGGGTGTAGGTCAAAAGCTCTTAGCTTTTTCTAAATATCTCAATCGTTTGGCTTAATAAAACAAATACTTCTTCCCATATTCCTTGTCTCTCATGTCCTTGGACCACCAGCACTACAATAACAACTAGTAATAATCAAAGGATAGACTCTCCAGCTAATGTGGTGGATAACCAATAATGGAACTTCTAAAGTATGCAGCAAATCTATGTTTAAAAAAATACCTCTTAACTGAACAGCTTAAGCAAGCCCTATGCAACAAGGGTCAAGACATCACCACTGCAGAACTGCCCTGTCGCCCCCTCCAGGTGGTTTTCTGTACACGGGAGTACAAAGAACGGGCAGGTCAGAAGAGGAAAACGCTACACAGCTTACCCATACTGCATAATTTCCTTCACTTTCCAGAATTCACAAGAACTAAACTAACTCATAATAATTATTTCTGTATTTTTTCAAGGATGATACTTCTGATGCAGAAACGTGAGACTGATGGAGATCACTTTCTATTGTGACTGGTAAGTCAGGGAACCAGAGACTCCGTTCACTAAGGGCACCTGCAGCTACACTGCATTATATAGTAATTAGCTTTAACACACAATCTTGTCTTCCACTAAGTATCTCTTCACTTATCTTAAGGTAACGAGTACTGACAGAAATCTTATCTTATAAATAGAAGGAAGGTACCTTTACATTCCATTCTGATACGTTTAAGAGATCAGAATACTAATTCCCACATGTCAGCTGCAGGCCCATTACATAATACAATACACAGTTATGCTTCCAATTTATTTTTTTTAAAATATGTTAAACAACTTCTAGAGCATGTATTTATAAAGTGGCCCTGTGCTTCAAAAAAATAACAAATTCTGCCATTATTAAGTGGAATTCTGGAGACTGCACAAAACCCTATTGTTATTTTAAATTATCATAGTATGCAACAGAAGCCCATGGAAAGAAAATGTAACCCTGTGATGTGTTTTGCACAGCTGAAAGTACAGAACCACAAAATAATGCTGAAATTGCACCGAGCCAGTTGATACATAAGAGCCCTACTTACAGAACTGACCTTCAGCATGAGCAACTTCCTTCTTGTGAACTTGCTTTCCCTGAGCTCCTCCTTTCCTCTGGTCTGCACTGACAAAGGAATCTCTTTCCTGCTTCTACTTCTTGTCTGAATAGGAAAAGATGTATTTTCCTTCTTCCTTCTCCCCCTCTCCTCCACCTATCAGCTACTTGTAAGGAACAGGGAAGAAATTCTTCCCGTTTTCTAAGCTATTTGGTAAAGCTGCAACAAAAACCCTTGTTTGGTCTTTTATAGTCACTTCTTCAGCAAGGTTTCCAGCAACCCAGAGTCTGAGGCCTAGGGGAAAGCAGGCTGGATTTATCCTGGGGACAATTCTATGCAGTCTCCAAACATTTTCCAGAACAAATAAACTGCAATTAAAATATATATAATTGCCCATGGTTGTCAAAAATTAAGGGAGAGAGAGCAGGTGAAGCGATACCCATCAAGTCTCTGTCACCCAGTCTGGTTACTGCTTCACAATTAAAATGGCCTGGATCAAATAACCCTGAAAAGCCTACGTAATTAAAGAATTTAAGCAGCACATTTGTATTTTGAGAAAAGTTAAAGTTCCCAAAACTGTAGAAAAGGTTGTGTTTGTGCTGGGGTTTTTTTTTTTTTTGGGGGGGGGGGGGGTTTTTTTTTTTTTTTTTACAAAAACATAATTTCTGCAGGGTCTAGCCTCCCAGTGTTTTTCCAACAGAAGCTTCAGTACCACCACATAAAAAATGCATTTTGATAGAAAACGTACTCCAAAAGAAGGTAGAAGACCTGGAATGATGTCAGTTTAATTTTTCACACTGTAAAATAATTTACTTTGTGATGATAGAGTTCTGTTTGAAGGTCTTCTTGGAAAGGGAGCAACTGACTAACAGATCAGTACAGTGCATTTACAGTTTAAGAGGTATACCAGCTTTTGCGTACTAACACATTTCTCTCTGTAAACACACTTTACGTGGATAGCAAAACCATCAGCCAACAAGGTGATCATTATGCTCTTTTTGGGAGGCTAACAAGGACAGATAAATGTAGTGCAGCTGTCAAGTCTTCCTGGCAGTCCACTGCACATTAGTATTTAATAAAACCCACGAAGATAGCATTTAGCATCACCCTCCTACTGTTCCTTGTTGGCTCCATTGTGCCCAGCAGAACAAAGCCTTTGTTATACTCTGAACACAGTGATTTCAGCTGAGCTATTTATTCACTGTGACCTATTAGGACTCACATGATCTACTCACACACAAAAGGTCCCTAAGAAAGGGAGAGAGAAATGAGTAGCTCTTTGGGTGCTGGAACAAAATAAAACAATGTACTTGTCAAAACTCTAATACTGATGGATGAGCAATCAAATGGTTTCTAAACTACGCTACCATAGAAAAACCTGGTGGCTATTTAATAAATATCTAAACCAGTCCAATCCACTTTCCTTGTACATGCAGTAAGCCACAGGAGAAGAAGATAGTGTATGTTTGCTTTTAACGGCACAAGTTTAGAAAAGGCTAGAGAAAGAGGCTTAATGCATTAATCCTTTGAGATGATGGAAGGAGTCCTCTGAATTTGTTTTTGCCATCCACAAAATAAAACACTGGGGAAAAAGATCTGCTGGCACAAAAACATAGCTCTTTGTGTTTGCAGACTTCTGAAACAGTACACTGCTAACACCACCCCAGGCTTATCAGGATAAATACGCGAACAGAAAATCTTTATAGTCTTAATCCAAAATGAATTTGAAGCTGTAACGAAAACTGTATTTGTTCTTAAGAAACGTTCCTTGACAGGGTCACC